CGGCGTGTCGCTGGTGAGCGGGATGATTGGCGGTATCGTGTGATAGGATCGCTTCTAGTGTGCTCTGTACATTTACATTGTCACACGCTCACATCCGCAGATCTACCTCTCTACCTCCACACACCCACACATCTGCACATCTATATCACATCTGTACATCCACACTGTCACTCCTTCACATCTGCCCTCTCTTTCTTTCTTTCTTTCTTTCTTTCTTTCTACATGTCCTTTCTCTCACCTGCGTAGATTTACATCTTGACACGCTCACATCTGCAGATCTACCTCTCCACCTCCACACATCTGTACATCTATATCGCATCTGCACATCCACACTGTCACTCCTTCACGTCCGCCCTCTCTTTCCCTCCTTCTATATATCTTTTCTTTACATTTTAAGTGTAATTTCTTCGCAACTTCTTACCCAATAACAGATTGTATAAAGAAGTCATGGCTCTTGGACAACTCGATTTTTATTGTTTCATAACTCGACAGTGCTGAACAATCACCTGTCTCGCTCTCGGGCCAACCGTCGTCTAGTTGTTTATAGCAGGGGAGTGCGGCGTGATTGTGGGACCGCACTCAACGAAGCCACCACAATCACGGGATACCGAGTCTGATCAACTCGGCGTACCTGCAAGTTTTCAACCTTTGGTAAAGCGCTAATGCATCGGCAGTCATGCACGGTACGCCTACAAAACCCCACGGCCATCTATGAGCCGTGGACCTAGTTCTATATTACTAATTCCACAAACATGGAACAACCCGAAAATGTGTGTGTGTGTGTGCTACCACAAGCCCAAGGTGCTTCAAAGCACAATGACATGACCAGGTCATCGCAAGTGAAGCTTCTATGGCCAACAGGGAGCAAAAGCAGGACAGCCCCAAGCAAGTGTAAGGCTTTAACCGCATTCCTGGTTTCCCCAATCTTGTTATACAGTATAGTTGGCGTGATCTAAATAGCCATTGACCTCCTGACACAGCTGGAGTACCACCTTTGGAAAATGTATGGAGCCTGATTCATGTCCTTCGTCCTCCTGCATATTTGGCTCCCTATCTTCTGCACAAGTTCCATTGATGGTTGAAATTGAAGTTGCACGGCAGTACTAAAACATGCCCCATACGTTGTTAACAACTTACATCAGCGCCAAAACAATTTGTCCGCGCACGTGGTGTGGTGATTCAAAACTCAGTAATCTTGCATCTTCTGCATCACCAACCCACTCTGTGGAAAAGTAAAAACTTGTCCCGTCCGCCCCCCCCAACACCCTAAAGCCTAAAGACTCACTTTGCTCGAATAAACTAACTTCAGCCTAGCCTATTGGCTGGCGTTCCTAATATTGCGCGACCGCTCTTTACTAGATTGGTTGGTCATCGCTGGTTTTGGCGGTTCCTAAGAACTGGTTTCTTTCGCAGAACTAACTTCAGCCTAGCCGGCTAGCTTTCGTAATTTGGGATCTTGCAAGCGTGGTTCTGCCTCACACAAGACACTTGCAAATCCGGCTGACGAATGGTAGGCTTCCTGGGACTCCATGGCCGGCAGACAAACTGCAAGCTTTGGATGTGATTTTTGCACTTTGTGCGCTGGGTCTCACTGTCTCACTGGCCTCTGGACACTTTCTGGATACTTTTTAGCCAAACGCTTGCTTGCTCTTGGCAAAAGGCATGTCTTGGGCTCTGAAAGTGTTTGCTCACCTCAAACGCTTGATACATATATATATATATATGTCGCCGCTCAAGTTAAGGTGGAGCAGAAAGATCGCGAGAGCTCCATGTTCTGTGAAAGAAGCAACAAGAAAGGCCAGTACATGGATGGCACTGTCGAAAAGGAATTGTGAGCTTGTTTTGATCGCAGAAAGCGAAGCGCCTCCTCAACTTTTGAGAGAGCGCGGTGAAACACCGTCCACAACTTCACAACTGCAAAGGTTGCACCGCTCTCTCTCTCTTGAAGAGATGGGATCGTACAACACTAGCATGACTAGCAGGTAGAAAGTATCACAGTTTCTCCTTCAAAGGTGGTGACCATGTGTTCACAATCCATGGGCCAATCATGTGCGATGGCTGCAAGCTCGATATTCCTCAGAAAAGGTCCATGATGAAGTCTCCTGCATCCTAGCAACAGATTGTCAAGAGTATAAGCCACAAGCCACAAGCTATTGGAAAAGAATGCAAACTAATTGATACGTTTTCTGAACCAAAAGAAATCGAAACGTGTTTGGACAAAACGATTTGACAACAACTCAACACCATGAGAAAACTGACTTTGATTTGAAAAAGGACTTGCCTCGGTAGCACCGGCAATCCACTCCTTCGTCCAAGGTCAATATATAAATAGAGTTTGAAGGTAGTTTTTCTTGAAGACACTCAATCCAAAATTACACCGGCATAGACCCCAGATAACAACTATCTATCAAAAAACTAAACAAAAAACACAAAAAAGATCTCTAAAAGACAAAAGCATGAGAGCTTCCAGTGACCGTGAGTGGGTCCAACGACACCTTTCCGCGTGGCTTCACAAATCTGGTCATCTTCTCAGAAGTGGGGAGACATGTAAGGCAACAAGCGGAAGAATAATTGGGAAGACAAATTGGGAGACAAGGCAGCAGCGGCAACAAAACGCTGATCACAAGCAGCCGAGTGGGGAGACAAGGAGACAAGCGGAGAGACACATATGGAGACAAAGCTGTAAAAAACAAGGCAGCAGTGGCAGCGGTGGAGCAAAACGCCGATCAGCCACCCCCTCATTAAGAATCATTGGCTTTCATCTATCTGGAGAAAGAAATTGAGCCATTAGTTAAACCAGCCACTAGTTTGACCAGTGGGAGTTTGAGCACATCATGTTCGTAGCATCCTTTAAAATTCTTTGTTCTAATTGTTTATCTTGTCAGAACTTGAGCCACTAGTGGGGGTCCGGAAATGATGAAATGCGAGGTTCCAGGTTTAAGGAAAAGATAGAAGCTTCAACAAAGGAGAGTCTGAAAGGAAGGCTGCGAGAGATCTTGAAGAGGAGAGAAAAGGGTTACGCCAGCATAGACCCCAAACAGCAGCAGCGGCAGCGGCGGCAGCAGCAGCAGCAGCAGCCTGCAGTGGCACCAGCACCCAGGTTACAATGCATCTGGCACACCAGCACCCAAGCTCCAAAGCGCACACGGCCATGGACATGTGCCCTTTGCACCTTGAACCTGTAGGATCCCCTCCAAGGTGCTACTGCAAACCGTCCATTGGGCTGGGGAGGGTGCTGCTGCGAGATGTCCATGAACTACCGCGGCTTGGAGAGGTGCCCTGGAGCAGCATCGACATAAATCCCACCCAATTCCTGCACCAGCACTGCCTCCAAAGCACGCGCAAGCACCTCTTCCTACATGGCTCGCGCTATCTGGCAAAAAAGGATGCGGAAAGTGCAAGGAGCCTTAAACAGCATCACCAGCATTGCCTTGTTCAGCCTCAGGGCGCCCTTTTGGTAACACTACCCCAGCATCGACCACACATAGTGAAAGATGTTTGTGAGCAGCAAGGTGCACATGGCCATGGACGTCTTGCAGAAGGATGTGGAGCGGCACCCCTCCACCAACAACTGCACCAAGCTCCGCGCACTCAGATTCTAAAGTGCACAGGCACCTCTTCCTATGCTTGAAATTACCGCAAGAGCCCCGTGCTTGATACTCAACATGTTGGAGAAGCAATTTGACAATTTGAGGTTTGAGGAAGAAAGAAACAGACGAGAGAGAGCCTGAAAGGAAAGCTCAGAGAGGTCGACGGGCCTAGAAGTCGAGTGTTCAAAAGGGCTGTAGTATCCTACAACATCCCAAAGCCCGCTAGTAAGACCGCTTTGTCTCTTGAACGTGTTTGATGGTGACTGGCGCAGTCGTTGTGGTAACACCCTACTTCTCCATTTCTCCATAAAAAAAAGCACCCCAGGCTTCTAGCCCCAGATCTGTTTATCTAACAGCAATGATTCGTGGTTTCGGTTAGCATAATCCTTTTCGCGTCACGCACGTGTTTTTGTCAGCGGGCAGCGTTTTCTGATGTTTCCTCCGTGGCAACATCTCATTGCATTGCATGTGTTCACGTTGCCTTTGTGTTCTTTTTTGCTGAAAATACCTTGCGTTTCGGATTGTTGTGCTCGCTCTTCGGGAATGTCCATTTTTGCCTATAATATCACCCAAGAATATTATCGACATTTGTCCGCCTTATCTACATCAATATAATTGTTCATGCTGTCTCTCATCATGCGTGTCAGGTGCATCTTCGACCTTGGGGTGGGGGGTGGAGGGGGTTGGGTGGGGGGTCAATGACGTACGCTCTGTGATGTCCAACGTCATCGGCATCTTTACATCACGCATTTTGTTGCATCATGCGAATCAAATGCATCGTCCTGGTTGGGGGGGTAATGACGTCTGCATTCGGTGATTGCCTCGTCGCAATCTTCTATTTTCATTGTGCCAAATGCTCCTGATTTTTTCTTCTCGTGAATGACTACGATGGTTTGCTCCTGTCGATTGTGTTTTTACTAGAATTGTTCAATCTCTCATTTCGCTGTAGCAAAATAGCGAAATGGCATTGAATCCTCTTTTTAAGAGAGCAATTTCAAGAGATGAATTTGCATGAAAATGCGTATTTCGCTGCAGCGAAACGCGAATTTGAAGTGAAACACACTGTAAATGAGACGTGCAAGGCTATTTTTTCGAAGTCAAATGTTCTGAACCACTGGTTTTCAGACCTTTTTGAACCCACCAGTTCAAGATTGACGACATAAATAAAGGCTTAAAAACGCAGGCGCATTGTCAGCCCGGCGGGATGTTTTTGATGGGCGCCGCCGAGGCCCAACGCTGGGGCCCAGCGCCGGGGACCCGGTGCAGGGCCCGACCCCAAATCCTTTATGGCTTCTATTTTTGATGCATTCACAGGGTAGCGCCGTGTACATGTTTTTCCTTGGCGCCGCTGGGGCCTTTGTGTACAAGAGCGACGATGTATACCTTCTTTCATGAAAAGGTTTTGCCTAGATTTACTGTAAATTTCTATCACGCCGCCTCCAAAAGCAGAAAGTTTGGGCCAAGTGGGCAGACATGTCAGAAGACAAGTGGGGAGACACAGCAGCAGCGGCATCCCAGACAAGGCACGCGGCACGCCGATTGCAAAGTCAGAAAGTGGGGAGACAAGGCGGCAGCAGTAGCAGCAGCGGCACACAAAACGCCGATCAGCCACCTACTCATTGAGAAGTAAGAATTTGGCTTTCAGCTATGTGGGGAAAAATGTCCCCAGGCTCCCTTCGGACATTTTGTCTGCATGTTTGTTTGGAAACTCTGCACTTGGACCAAAATGGATCTGGTTCCCACTTCTACAAGGCTAAAAAATCCACTGCTGGATTGACGGGAATAGCAGCCGCGGCTCCCCAACATCGCCAGCAACGTCACCGATAGCATCCTTGGAGAGTCCAGATACGAGTCACGGGAGGAGGTTCAAAAGTGAACTAAAGCAATGATGGATCGTCTACTGAGACGGAAAGCCCCAAGAAGTAAGCGCAGATGTTGCACTGCAACAGCAGCGAAAAATATGGCGATCGTTTCTGGTATTCAAAGCTCTCCATGGAGCTTACTTAATCTACGGTGCTTTCGAACTGCACATTCTGATGCATCCTTTTTTGTGCAAACCCTCGAAGTGAAGTTGGTGCCAAATCTCTCCGGCATCCCCAGCAATCTCACCAATCGTGTCCTCAAAGACAGTCTAAAGTGGAGAAAACTCAGTGTTTGGGTCGGTGGAACTCCGAACTCTCAGAGTTCACCGGAGTAGTAGCGTTTTGCTCCTAGTAGCGATGCCAGGAGCCCCTAGTAGCGTCCTTGTTCCTAGTTGCATTCTATAAAGCCCTCCAACAATTTGGAGTATTGTCTCTCGATGTATATCGTGCTGCTCGGTACATGTGGATTTTCACCAAGTTTCGCCCAGGTCTTCGAGGCCATCTCCTTCCGCCAGCAGGGCACCGGCAACGCAGGCAGCGCCTACCACTGCTACACCTCGAAGCAGTTACTGTGATAGTGCAACCTGTGACATTTGCAACATGTGTAAAGCAATCTGTTCTTCAGTTCGTTAACCACATCTCGGTACGAGAGAAATCAGTAAGGCGATCTGTCCTTTTGAACTGACAGAAAAGTGGATAGTTGCCTGCTACAAGAAACGCGTGCGCAGATCCCGTTCAACCAAAGGCCTGCTGTTACTCCTGCCCCCACTGCGATCTTCTTGCCCATGCTCCAACCCCTCACAAGGCCAGAAGTGGTCTGCGCTGTGTGGTCTACCTATCTCTCCACTCATTTATGTCTTGCTTTGCTGGAGATTCCGGCTTCTTTCCTTCGGCTCCAGCCGCTGGATCCGTGCCTCATGTGCAAGAATGCTCGTACTCGGTCAGAGCAAGTTGCATTTAGTTTGTGTTCAACTTGTTCTGGACACCTCCAGCTGCAGGTGTTGGTCCTGCCACACGCAATGGCAACTGCGCAAATCTATTCCCTTGCAAATTTTGACAAGACCATGTGCCAGCCAGAGAATATGGCATGGGTTTGGCATGCACAGTTTGTCAAATACTCCGCTGCAGCACTACAGAACATTGAACCGATCCTTCTCCACCTCCTCCTACTGGCGCCGGACCTGCATGCATCTGTCTGAAAGTTGCTGAATCCCGTTTCTTTCTCTGACTATATCTCTGACTCCATTGTCCTTTGCACGTGTTCACATGAATTGCAAGGGAAGTGTGCAATTGCAGCCTCCCTTCCCCATCTCCAGGAAAGTGGCAAACTCATCATAGGAGATCTGAGGATAGTTTGGACGCAAAGCGAAGCTCGTGTGGACGAAAATATGTTGACCATAGCACAAATGCGTTCCTGGATTTCCTAAATAGCACGCGTGCAGAACTCTCAACACGCCTTGTAATCTTGGTTCTTGTCCACTTGCAAAATGAGATCATTGATCTCCTCGATCCAGTGATAAACTGCCAATCCACATGAAACACATTCCTGTGAATGCACCTGTAATTCCAAACCACAACAGCTGGCATCTTCTTGGATCGGTGGAAACACCAAAGTCAGGTCCGAACTGTTCTGCTCAGCTCTGGGTTCAGCTGTGCCTGAGCACAGCACAACATTGAGTTGACCACTCGAACGATCAAGTTCCCCCCTGCGGTCCCCTTCCAAGTGAAGTGAGTATGAGCAACAGGGGCAGGTCAAGAGGGTACGATAAATCAGGATGAGGGCAATAAAAGGGAGTTGCAACAGACAAACATCAGCGCTGCACAGGGTGCATGTTGCGGGGCTCCAAGTAGTTTAATCAAACCCCAGCACTTACCTTGGCTGGACACTGGCGCTAGCGTGCTTCCGCAGCCACACGGGGTGCCAAAGCTCTTAGCAAAAGCTACACCCTCAAAAGAGCCTCTGGCCTTGGGGTGTCTTGCTCTTGGCTCTTGCTGCTTCCCCAGGAGATTCAAGAACGGCCAATCTGAGACTTTCAGGATCCTTTTTCAGCGCAAGGCCCATGCTCCGCTACTTTGCAAAGCAAGCACGCTATGCATAAGCTTCGCTGCAACACCACAAATACATATTCAAACAATCTGGAGTTGTGGATGTGTATCGAAGAGATGATGTAAACTGCGGACTTTGTCAAAGAGAAGAAATGTAAAGAAAAACATTCAGTTCCTCCGCTGGTCCATGTGCTCGGACGAGCCTTTGAACTTTGACGTACTGTGTCTCCTTCAAAATTGGTCGCTGTCCACACTGCTGAAAGGTTCGTTGTTTGCATTTTGCCAGTGTTCAGGTCCGCACGTATTGCCAAGCATTGGTCAAGCATGCATTGGTTTGGTTGATCCACCATGGGCAGTGCAATCTTGGCGACATGTTCTGCACCAAGTTTTAGAAGACATAGCACGGGCCAAGCCGACTCAGCCACTCCAAGTCGTTTCTATTGCTTCGCACGTTAGAGCGCATTCCAAAGCACTTGGACAAGACATGGAACAGGAAAACAGAACTACTGTCATTGATGCGTCGCCTAAAGGGCGTACCCACCATGCCACAAAACAAACTGCACTTCAGAATGCCCAGCTGTATGACCACTTGTGCAATCTTTTTTGACAGCCAAGATTGGCTCACAAAATTTTAGCCTCCTCATTGGCACTAGCCCACCCTCCAATGATGAGCACAAGACTCAACCTGAAAAACAATTCCAAAGCCTTCCATTAAAATCCAAGTGTGGCCACCTGACCAACCTTGGGGATGGAAGCACTCCCAGGATAAGCGGACATCTTTTGGGTATTTCGTTATGCAACTTTGCTGGGGTTTCTTATGATGCAAAGCTTGACGGTTTCTGTTTCGCTCAAAGTTTCAGCGACCATCCCCTGTGGTATTAGCAGAGGCTTCACGCCGTTCTTTACTGCATGGTGTCCTTGTTCAGGCACATCTTCGAATCAAGTATCCATAAATGGGACTTCGCACTGGCGAACGTTGCAAACCCTGTGCCCTGGCGTTGGTTTTTCCAAGTGTATACATGTTCTTTGCTCGTTGTTGCTGACCATGTGACATGCTTTCAGCCTACATGAGCACGAGAGGCAAAACAGACCCAACTTCACACATTTCACATAGCCACATCACACATCATCACCTCACCCTTCATCAAATCAAGCACTCATGGCACATGAGTCTTCACACCAGAACGCACACACACTTTCTTTATTGATATATATATATAAACTCGCCGGCCTCTTTTCTCGATGCGCTCCGCAGGTGTGTCAACA